AACGGGCTGATTTTTGGCAATCGACTATATTTGAAGTTGTATGTAAAATCCTAAAAATCGCTACATGCTGACAAAAAAAAATTCATAACTTTCAAACTTGAGCGAGTAGCGAGTTCAAATTTCTACTCGCTGAATACAAAACATTCACTAATCTACAGACCGAATTTGATTTAAATCGAAGAACGGGCTGAATTTTGGCAATAGACTATATTTGAAGTTGTATGTAAACTCCTAAAAATCGCTACATGCTGACAAAAAAAAATCATAACTTTCAAACGTGTGCGAGTAGCGAGTTCAAATTTCTACTCGGTGAATACAAAACATTCACGAATCTATAGACCGAATTTGATTTAAATCGAAGAACAGGCTGATTTTTGGCATTCGATTATATTTCATTAAAATCTATCGTATCATTCTCCCGATATTGAACAAGGATAACTTTCCGGAAAAACTGAGCCAGACTTTTTCCTTACTAAAAGTTAGGTCAGATCGTCTTCTTTTGCTCCAAAGAATATATCAGTGTCGGTTAGATCATGTGCTTACGGGACACCCTCTATAAGAACCGAAAATAACTTAGGGTACCTACAAAAATTGTTTTCATCTTCACCTGTAATCCGTGGCTAACAGAAAATTGAGACGCCATTGATATTGCTAAAGGTAAAATAGAGTCCAACTAAAATTAAATTAAAAAAAGAAGAAAATGTCTTGAATTTGTTATAAATTTTTTGCGAAAAATACTTCAGTTTTTGTTTAAATTGCAGTAGAAATGTCGTTTGAATGTTTTTGAAAAGCGCCCTAATAGTTCAATTGTTCTTCTGGATATAACTTTTTCTTAGAATTCACAAAAATTCAGAATGAATTCAGATTCTTCAGAATTCACACTAAAAAGAGTTTTTAGCCAATTGAACCAGATAATAGCAAATTAAAGGAGGCAATAACAAACTTTTTAAATCTTTAGCCCATAATAACACTGAAACGTTGCTCAATTTAAATGGAATTAAACATTCCAGCTTGGACAAGTTAGTAAGAAAAATTCCACTATTGGTAGTAGTCTGATAATTAAATAAGCATGAAATGAATCTCCCACAAGTCATCAAACATGTGGTAAACATGCACAATGTAGAACCGACAACGGCACTGGTACGGTCACAAACACGAAAACTAGAACCCCACATAGTCAAAGTGTTAATAATCGATAATTATTCTCGTTATATACTGCATGTCCTTACTAAACTACTAGTGAATATGCTTAAAAATAACCAAGTCAGACGAGAATGTACTTCGTGCGATGATTTTTGGGTATTTTTGCTTGCAGAGTCTCGATTCCGAGCTCTCATTGTGTTCGTCTAGGTAATTCTATCGAATCGATCAATACACTATAAACTGGAAAGTCGGATTAGTCACAGTAAATATTCTCCAAGACGAACACTTAGAATGTGCAGTAGCAATCAGCACTGAAAGCAATCAAAAAATGGTTAGTCGTCTAAAGCAGAATCATTACTTTAAGCGTGGTTTATACAAAATAGTCGATACTGAAAGTACTGAAGCGGTTTCGTCGAAGAGACGACGGTGCTGATGTACCCCCTTCATATAGCACATTCACTCTACTTGGTTACTCTTACTCGCATTCACTCTGAGAGGAAAACTATAGTTACTTGGCCATGTGTGGAATTATTATTAATTTATTAACAAAATTAGTTAAATGTGTTAATATTGCAAAAGTTAATCAAACTTACTAAAGTACAAGTTAGAGACTATTTATAGATGCAAAATGGTTGAAAGTATGCTAATTCTCTTGATCGCCAGACAACCAGCGTAACCGATGGCTGTCTGGGCAGACGAAAAGAATTTCAAAAGAAATGAGTGCATTTTTTACAAAAAAAAAGACAGAAGGTACTTTCAAGATAACGAAATAAAAGAATTTAATTAAGATTTTCGTATAAATATATTTTCCACATTGGCGCAAGTCAACAACATATACAAAAAAATATAATCATATGTAAATAATATAAACGATTTAAATAAACTAACTAAGAAACTAACGGCGGACGATTCGAACGTTCTGCTCGGCTGGCAAAACGTTCAAAGACCCTTACAATAAACTGTGTGTCCAAATTCTGAATTCCCGTAGAAAAATGAGAAAATAAGGGCACCCGATTACCGACGCTACGGAATTAGACTAGAGCACGTGTAAATACAGACTAGAATCGACCATTCATTACATGGAAGTAGATTTTTGCGTCCGAACTCAAGCAATGTGCAAAACAAGAAGCAGAAGATCCAGAACCCAAAAAGTATTGAAAAACGACCAAAGAAACTGCTTAGAGCACACAATGAATGTTTTTTTT